GCAAACTGAAGAAGAAGTAGACAAGTGGAAAAGTGACACCTAAAATATTGAATTAGGGCTCCTCATTAGAATACACACTGATTTCTGTGAAGATGAAATCTGCTCTTGAACTCACCTTTGCACTGGAAAGCGTCCTTGAGGCTGAGCAGCACATCGGCGAACCATCGCACATCGTTCACCAGCTGCATCACATACTCCGGGTCCACTCCCGGTGCCCCCACCAGCCGAGACGACAGCCCCATGCTGCTCAGAGGGTTGGGGTTCTTGGAGCTGTGGCCCATGTCCAAGGTCTTAGTGGACCGGGCCGACAGAGACCCCGTGTGAGACTTGGGGAGGTGTCGTGGCGGACCCTGGGCGTGGTTTGTCCCGATGCCACCACTGCTGCTGCTCTTCCGGAGCATCACCGCAGCCAGTGCAGCTGCCACCCCCCTTCTATGGGGAGGACAGCACTGATCCCTGGATGGCTGGAAGAAAGAGAATGATGGGTGAGGATGATGGGTGAGGATGATGGGTGAGGATGATGTAGGCGATTGTGTGTCTGTGTATGTCTGTCCATTTAAGACCTGTTACATGTGTGACATATGAACTCTTAAATATCAGTCGATAGTGATAATCATCACAGTAAATGTCCCATTAATATATCTTTAGAGTTTAAAGTCTGATTTGAAGGTTTAACTGAGTGGAGGTTGGAGCAATTGTATGAATTGTTGTTTTCTTCTCCCGAGAACGGGCCCTTTATATTTGAATACTTTATATTTACATGTGGAGTGGTTCCTCTCTACGGAGGCCGCCATGTTTTTGTTTTTACAGCTTTGAGTTTTTATGACAGCTGAAGGCGAGCGACCACAGGTTAGAAATTCAGCTGCAAGACGATACCTCACCACTAGATGTCTCTGACTTCCACACACTGAACCTTTAAACTTCATCTCGAAGTCTCTGAATGATCTTCTCTGTCCTGATGGGACTCGTTTACATTTTACGCCCGAGCATAGCTCCACTGTTAGCTAGCTTAGTTTAACGCCATGTTTAATGTTTAATAACGGGTCAAAAACCGCAGCAACACTTTTTCGCAGAAACACAACTAAGTTAAAAAAAATAAAAAAATAAATAAATCACGGTAAGTTTTCACGAGAAAGGAAACTTACGCAGCTCGTTCGTTTTTAAAGCGCAGTTCACGGAGAGCAGTGATGCTGCGGTGGAAACACCGCGGACCCGGGTCACGAACACAGAACAAGTCGCTGTTTAAACTCACCTGCTCGGCGGTTCACTGACATAATGGCGGCGACATCCGAGCACTTTGTCTAAGATCGCCCGTGGAACGACGACATTTCCCTTCCAAACGCACAAGCTCCGGCAGGCACGGAAGAAAGCTGTCCGCTCGCAGCCTCTGCTCTCCGGGAGGAAGACGAAGAAGATTCCCCGCAACTCTCCGCTCACTTGTAATTTAGCAGTCCCTCCGTCACGTGACCCGCCACACGCGCTCTGATTGGCTAGAGCCGCGATGCCTTCACGGAGCATCGAATGTTTCGAAACTATAACCCAATGCCTTGAATAAATAAACATCAAAAACTTCTTACCTCGAGCTGTTGGAGTTTTATTTTTGATTTATGTGACGATAAAGTTTATATTCGTTAAAATATGCGTTTCTAAGGTAGTTATTGTCGTTTTTATTGCATTTTGTCAATGAATACAGATTCTTCTGATTGCCCGTGAATGTGCGGAGGGGTCTATTCTAAAAGTGAAATCAAACATGGCCTCAGTTGTATTTACATCCAGGGGATAAACCCACATGTCACAGTTTTCACGTTTGTTAAATGTGCAAAATCATATTAATATATATTAAAACACAGCCTATAAGTCTGGTTTCTTCTCTTCATAATGTGAATAAGAGAAGCTAGTTCAGTAAATGTGTTTAAAATAAAACTGTGTCTTTACTTTCAGCCTTTAACGAGATCTTGAAATAATTTCTTCACTTTCTCTCTTTTCTTTTTCTATTCAATTAGGTTTATATGTCTTTCTCATTTCCCTTTCTTTAAAATGTCATATTAACATGTTTGTATTTATATTTTTGTTCCATATATTTTTATGTTTCAAATGTATACTCGCACAAATACAACCACAGCCATGTGTTAACCTGCTTGGCAATAAAAAAACAATTCTGATGTTACTTAAAGTCTGTTTTCTTTTGTGAATTACATTTTAACAAGTTTTTATTTCATAAACATGCTTTTGTTTTTATTAACACGTTTTTAGTTTTATCTATAATGTACACAAAGCGCTTTGAGCTGCATTTCTTGTATGAAATACAAGTAAAGTTTAATATTATTATTATTCAGTGAAAGAGAAGAGCATGTAAAGGCCAACTATTCCTGATTTTGTTGCTGAAATAATAACTGTGTAATAAAAATGTGTACTTGACTATATCCTTAAATTGTTGGTCAGTTAAATTAATAATCAGTCTCTTCAATCTGGTTCATGTAAAGATATTTAAAAAAAAGAATCGACCAAGTCAACGTGCTGATACCACTGCTGCCACCTGGTGCACAAATGTAGAAATAGAGCCCAGTGTTACAGCGAGATACTAAGCGTTGCATATATTTATTGTACATACATTTTTACATAGAACACAAACATATAAGAAGCTTTAAGTTAAAATAAAATAGTGTCATGCTTCTTAAAAGCTATTTGCATGTTCCACAGCTTCATCTCGGTTGTATGTTCTGACCCGTTTTCATGTGAAGGTGGTGTCGTGTATGTGTCTGCAAATGTGAACTGGATAAAAAAAAAAAATTCAAATCTCATTTTTATGGTTAATCAGTGTGTCTTTATTTAAATATACAAAAAGATGGATGTATTCTCATCTAGTTTATATTTCTAAGCATTTCAACTCACAGATAGTTTCCATTCGTACTGTTTTAGTGAAACCGACCAACATACCTGCACACACGCTCTCACACACGCACAGTTCACATAAACAGGGAAGGTCACACAGTTCAGTCCAACATCCATTCACACCAGAAGAAATGAACAATATGTTGACTGTAAATCAAAAAAAAAAAAAAAAAAAGGCTTTGCTTTCACAGGATTCACACATGAAAAGGAAGAAACCCTTTACATTTGTCAAGTAAATATATACACGATAACTGATAATTTTTTTTTTTTTTTTTTTTCAAAGATGAGACCGACTCCATGTTAGTGTTACTAATGAGGTACTGCATGAGGTAACTGGTTTTTCTGTTCAGAGGAGCCGGGTGTAAGACAGCATTTGGAAGTTACCACCGATCACAGCAGACTTTCTCACGTCTTTTGCTGTTTTTCTGGCACAATACGTAAGAAGCACCTGGGTCACGTTCAGCTCACACGCAAAAATAAATTCAACCCCCGACTCTGACACGTGTCCTCGTCAGAACATGATCCAGGTGTGATGAGATGTACTCCACTGATCCGCAGGAGGAAAACCGCTAAGTCACAGGTGAGTTGAATGACTTTGAACTATGAAGTTCAAATGACTATTGCTGTATAATAAATATTGCTGGACCCTTGGACCACGCATATGCCACAGTTTACATCACTCCTAACGGGGCTGCACTATCAAAAACCAATCCATCAAGTGGTTAGAGACACTTTGATAATTTCCAAACACTAAAAACATTGCTCCGTCTTAATTTATGTTTTTTTTTTTGTTCCGCATGTTCGTTACCAAAACTGCACAAGAGCAAGCGTTACAGACCACTGTCAAAAAAATAAAAATCACCATGTTTGCACAGCACTAATCAAAGCACAACAGATGAGCCTGTGTGTTGTCCAACATGGCTGAACACTGAACAGGTCTGAACATCACATCAGCAGGTTAATATTGAGGTAATACTGTTCATACTGGCATTTTAAACAGGCGGCCAAACACGGAAGCCGCCCGCCCCGAACATTACGATTTCCTTGTTGCCTTTTTTTCTTTTAAGGATATTAACAAAACTTTCTGATGCAAGTGCTACCCACACAACTTCTGATTCAGAGGAACTGATACCATTATTCATAAAAATCTGTAACACAACCACAATTCCTGAAAG